CAAAACCCCAAAACCCCGAAAATCTATAACTATGTATATGATGTGAGAGAAATAATATATTTGGAATCATAAATCAATTGCGAATCTTTAGGACTCCTAATGATTTAAGATCAATAGAGGATGTATTCATTAATAATTTTATTATCCTAATTCTTAAGTAGTATCTACGAGGATGCTCTCCAAAACATCTAATCTTACTAAGAGACAAGTTCTTAAGACCTTTTACGCTTAATAGAGCCTCAGATCATTCGCCGCAGCTAACCAAGAAACATTAGAAAACTTGAAAAAGCTTGGCATTACAAACAAAAACATCGTTTATGACCCAACGTAACACAATATATTCAATCAATCATCTTTCTCATTAGTGTCTCTGAGCTCTATGAATACGCTCTTCTGCCTGAGCATCTTACCTCAATCAACCCTCATGTTACAGCAACCACTATTGCTGATTCAGGTGCTCTTTCAGTATCATCAGGTCTTAAGACTGGTAGAACTCCAAAGGATAAGAGAGTAGTCCTTGATGACACAACTAAAGATGTATGCATTAATGGACTAATAGCAGAATTAATCTTCATTTATAGAGTATTTGGTGGGGTAGTGTCAATATTCCCATTTCTCCCAAGGGATTCGCTAGAAACAGAAGAAGAGCAATAGACTTTTTAAACATCAGACCAAGAGTAAGTTACCTATAAACTGATAATCCTGAATCTTAACAACTTTTATTAGCTCTTCATCATTGACGGATATGCCGGCTGGGATGAGGAATATAGAATGAAATGCAGGATTATTGCCACTAGACCATATCACGCTCTCTTCATGAAGTAGATGTTGATCAGAGCCCCAATTGAGCAACTTAAGAAGGACTTCGCTAAGGGTGCAGATTTCACAATTCTGAATGCTGGAGAATTCCCAGCTGATCCATAAACAGAAGATGTAACAAGCGATACATCTGTGAATGTCAACTTCACTGACCATGAAGCTGTCATTCTTGGAACCTAATATGCAGGAGAAATGAAAAAGGGAGTATTCGGTATCATGCACTATTACATGCCATAGAGAGGAGCCCTATCTATGCATGCTAGTGCCAACGAAGGTGCTAAAGGAGATACTACTGTTCTTTTTGGTCTTTCAGGAACTGGAAAGACAACATTGAGCGCTGATCCCCATAGATCATTGATTGGTGATGATGAGCACGTATGGACTAACAAAGGTATTTTCAATATCGAAGGAGGATGCTACGCTAAGTGCGTTGGCCTTACCAGAGAGAAGGAACCTGAGATCTATGATGCAATTAGACATGGTGCTATCTTAGAAAATATTAAGTATTTCCCAGATCAAGCAAGATCAGTCAATTTCGATGATATCTCACTAACTGAGAACACTAGAACTTGCTATCCACTTGAACACATTCCAGGCGCTAAGATCCCAGCCCTTGGAGGTCATCCAAAGAATATCATTTTCTTGACTTGTGATGCTAACGGAGTCCTTCCACCAATCTCAAAACTTACCAAAGAATAAATCATGTATCATTTCATCAGTGGATACACAGCCAAGGTTGCTGGAACTGAGATGGGAATTACTGAGCCTGTTGCCACTTTCTCAGCTTGCTTCGGAGAAGCTTTCTTGCCACTACATCCTTACAAGTATGCTAAAATGCTTGCAGAGATGGTTGAGAAATATCACACAAACGTATGGCTTATGAACACTGGCTGGAGTGGTGGTAAATACGGTGTTGGAAAGAGAATGAGCTTGAAAATCTCAAGAGGTATTCTAGATCAAATTCACAATGGTAGCCTCGAGAAGGCTGAGTATGAGACCATGCCAGGTTTCAATCTTAGAGTGCCTAAAAAAGTTGAAGGAATCGATTCAACTATCTTAATGCCCATTAATACATGGAAAGATAAGGCTTAATATGCAGATGAAGCAAAGAAACTTTCACACAAATTCATCAAAAATTTCGAGAAGTATCACGATGGTACTCCATAGGAGGTCATTCAACATGGAGGTCCTTCAACAAACTTCTGAATCTGTGGCAAATAAATATTTAACTTATTTAAAAATTTTAAGTTAAGTTTTCTTTATCGGATCGGCTGGGGTTCCTGTATCTTCAGTTTTCCTGATTATATCTTATTTAAGTATCAAATCTTCTTCAGTTATTGTTCTAAGTCTGCCCAAGGGGTTTTGGGGTTTTGGGGTTTTGGGGTTTTGGGGTTTTGGGGTTTTGGG